CATGGTTTCTTAGAGAATTCAACTTAACTAGGTCTGTAGAACTAGGAAAGCTAGCAGCTGAACCCTGGTGTCCCAGAACATCATCGATAAAATGAAAATCTCCACCTAAGAACAACCTGACTATTTTGCCTTTTAGCTTAAAATCTGACGACTGAATTCTTTTAATGTCGTTGGCATAATGCCCGAGAACTAAGGCAATATTCTCACGACAGTCTGAACCCTGATACATACAAAATAAATGAACATCATATACAGACCCTGATGATTTAGAATTGACAACTTCAAAATGGAATTTCATATACTTCCCACCCTTATCCCCAGCAAAAAGGAGCCATACCTCTTTGCAAAAACCGACATCAGAATTGAAGTGGTCACGAACGTGCAGACTATTGAAAACCTCTTCAATATAAGTTATCAAATTCTTGACCATCAATACAGGTACTAAACAAGGTGCTTCATTCGCAGATGGATAAAGCAACATGGACTTTACAGTAACATGTTCTTTACTAACATGCATTGTCCGCATTTCTTGTTCTTGTCTTATCTTGGGCTCAGATGGGAGAATCCTTGCACCAAGATTACACAGAATACGTCTTAGCCTACGGAATTCAGCTGTGGGCATCCTTAATTGGCTCTGCAGCTCTACAGCATCAGAAACACTTAACTGCCTAACTAAACCCAACTTATTTGCAACACAATGAAACATAGACTTTTCACAAGACACAGAATCACAAAACAACATAGACAAATCACTTTCCAAATCTGAACAAGCTAATAATCGAAGGAATATAAAAGCAAGTTTAGATCGTCTAGCTGCAGCATGCCTACCTAACTTAGAATAACATTTACCATCTCCTAACTTAATGTAAGTATATTTCTTACCAACTATTGGCTTTTTAACTGATATAGTCTGTGGATTACTTAATTTAAACCCACAGAATAATTCAGAGGAACCAATGTTGTCATAGTCTAAATAAGAATCAACGACAACTAAATCCTTATCACTGCTAGCAAAATATTTGCAAATTTGGCAACTGTTCTTGTTTATATCACTGATTTTTGCATTTTTTTTTCAAATTTAAATTTTTTTAGCAATCTTACATTTTTGGCACGAGCAGATGCAAATTTACGGTGTGCTGTTTTTAGCTTTTTTTTTTTTAAAAGTTGGAACTGCTCCTCCTGTTTTAGCCTAATACTCATAGTCTCTAATTGAGAACTTAATGAGTTACAATGTGCGTTGAGAGCCTTGTTTTTAGAATTTAAATATATAACTTCAGTTTCCAACTTTGATACCTGTATTTTTAAATTATCTATTTGCTCCACATTATTTTTTTCTTTAGAAATTAATTGTTCAACTTGACTACTTAGTTCCTTATTCCTATTTAAAATATAAAAATTATCTGCATCTGCTGATTTTTTTTGTTTTTTTGTTTGTGGAGCTGGAGACAGTTGCATTTTAAAAAATGCTTCGTTTTTTGAAGCTTCAAAATACTTTTTAGAATCTTTTTTTCTTTGTTTTATTTTTCGGCACATTTTATTTAACACATCAATATTAGGCATATTAAACTCAATTGGCAAAAGAAAACTTAAAAAAGTAAACAACGCTTTTGGATGAAAAACTGTTAATAAAATTGAAATCACATTGTTAGTGATCTTACTAGTGTCAATTACTCGCTTTACAAAATTAAAGTTATACTCATTTTCCCAACCATCTTCCCAACCGATGTACAGTTTCAAAATTTCCTTCTCAGTTGCATACATCACATAAATAATGATAATGATATTATAATAATAATATAATAAAAGAAATTAAATAAAATAATATTTACAAATAAATACACTAAAAATAAAAGAATTAAGCAACTTATCTGAGATTAGTCGAATATCCACGAGGAAATAATCCACGAAACTTTGCTTTATAATCTTTATTGATATAGTAATAAAATTATAATACAAACAACTTAAATAGAATAATATTGACAAATAGATGCACTAGATAAAATCGGATTAATCAACTTATCTGAAATTAGTCAAATATCCAAGAGAAATTAATCCGCGAAACTTTGTTATTTATTCTATAAAATGTGTCTCGTTTGTTTTGTTTGTTTTCTTAAAATGCATCCGATAATCGTTGGGGACGTAACGATCCGAGTTTGCGTCACCGCTTTAAAATGTAAACAAGAATTTATGCAAAAAAAAACTAAAAAAAATGTCGCTAAACATGCCAAGTTTGAAAACATATTGGATAACATAGCTAGAGGTACAGAAAATAATTTTTTGATTTTCTTATTCATATAAGGTTGAAGTATTACTAAATCCACAGACTTTTCAAAAATGTTATGTTTTTTATTCAAAACGAATAAAAACAAAAATATAAATGCATTAAAAACTAACTTTCTATATAAAAACTTGCAAAGTCTGTGGAAATCTAGATAGAACAGACATTCATTAATAACTGTTCTAAATTTCAACCATCGACCATGTAGCTATGTTATCAAATCTTAGTTGGCCTAAGACAGGTTTTGCGTAAAAATCGCAAAAATCAGAAAAGTGATGCCAAATTATTAACAATATTTTTACAGCTTTCATTTTTATTCCGTTTAATGTAAATGTTTATTTAACAAGGAAAGATAGATCTTTTATATTTTTTTTATTTGAATATGAAAGCATTTATAGAAAAAAAATACTATTATTTTAAAGTTAATGAATTTTTATACTTTTTATGCGGAAATACTTTTTTTTTTGATAAACTCGTGACGTCAGGCTCGCTTTTATATTGAGTGAAACAGCCGTGGGTAAATACATTCAAACATAATTCTGTCTTAACCAATGTTTATAGAACACCAAATTTGTTCGCATAGTTTACTTTGAAGGTCAATATATATATAAATTACACTTCACCACCTTTTCCAATGGCTCTATCTTTTCTATATGTTTCGAGTTGTCTGTCCACCATGTCTTGCACACCATAATTATGTGTGGTGAATTTCTTTCAACTTCAATTAACAGCTCATTATGTTATTAAACAACATTTGTGTAACAGTATTTTAAATAACTTTCTCTTATCTTGTTTTTTTTTTATATAAAAGATTTACTACCGCAATTAGAGCTTTTTTAATGTTGTTTTTTATTAGTTACTACTTTTTTTTTCTTATAGTTTTATCACTTCTGATAGTGAAATAATACTCATTGTCTGTATTTTCAATGCTTTTTGATTTAAACTATTCTCTTCACAATTTTGTTTGATATCTTTCACTTTATGTAAAATCTGGATTTATAAATATCTTTCATATTCTTTTGAATCTCTTCATTCTTTAGATTTTTTGAGGATTGAATTGCTCTAGTTTTTAACTTTTAATACAACAACAAAAGTTTATCACTAAGCAAACTTTTAGATTTTTTTTATTTGTAAAAATAGAAAAATGAAAAATAAAAACTAGTACTCAATATTTAATTTAAAATGAAAACATCTACTTTGACCAAACCTTCAGCACCATATCAAACATCTACTTTGACCAAACTTTCAATACCATCTCATAAGTTTAGTCGCTATATAAATACTAATAACGTATCAAAAACTAGCTTAGTATATCACTAGTATTATTATTACTAGTATTTAAGCTTATCACTAGTATTTAAGCTTAATAATTTTTTACACTTTTATTTTGAGGTTTGGTTTTAAAAAAAATCTTTTTTGATCAAGATACTATTTTCTTTATTTGCTTTCTGTTTGTCTTCATCTTTTAAGGCAATTTAAACCAAAAATAACATTATTACTTTCTCCTTTTTATGTTCTTTAATTTCATTGGAAATGTTATTAATTATTTTCACTTGCTCTGGTAATTGTTATCCACAATACGATTCTTAAAAATGATAACCCCCGGTTGAGTTAACTTTCTCCATTTCTTCTACTCTTCTAGCTTTTAATTTTTATTAATTGCTTTTTAATTTTTAAAAAGCTATTAAGTATAATATATTAATTTAAAATTGCTATTAATCATTTAAGTAATTGTTCCTGTTACTTTCTATAAGTATTAAATTCTGTTGACTAAACATTTATCATTGTGATTGATATGGTTGAATGCAGATGTAAATTTAAATATTTTAAATCAACTCTTTTTAAATATGTAAAAAAGAAAAATACTCGTCAGATAAATAAACACATCATGCATCTACAAAAGCTACATGCATCTACAAAAATTTTAGTTTTTTTTTCAAAAATAAATTGCATAACATAAGTTATAAGACAAAATTTAGTTTGTAATACTCAGATAAATCAAAGTTACATATGAAAAAAAAAAAAAAAAATTATTTTAGATATAACAACCTAATTCAAATTTGGGAGCAATTATAACAGAAGGTTACAAAGCTTCTAATTTAACTTCTTTTCAGCAAACATTTTTTTCCATTTGTTTATTTAAAAAGTCTAAACATGCTTTTTAAATAAACATGCATGTCTAAATATACCTTATAGTTTTAAAAAATAAAACATTAAAAAAAAAAAAAAAGAGAAATTATATTAAAATTTTTGTATTTAAGTTTTTATTTAATAATTTCAAATATATATATATATATATATATATATATATATATATATATATATATATATATATATATATATATATATATATATATATATATAAATATATATACATATATATATATATATATATATATATATATATATATATATATATATATATATATATATATATATATATACACACAAAATATCAAATATATATATAATATATGTATATATATATATATATATATATATATATATATATATATATACATACATACAATATATCAAATATATATATATATATATTTGATATATATATATATATATATATTTGATATATATATATATATATATATATATATATATATATATATATATATATATATATATATATATATATATATATATATATATATATATATATATATATAATGATAATAATAAATTAGTTTAAATTTTTATTCAATATCAGAGTAACAGTTGTATACAAAGTACGCCAGAAATCTGTACTACATCGTCAGCAACAGAATACAACAGGCAATCAATACAAAAACTTCAAAACATGTTTAGCTATGTATGTATATAATTATCTAAAATTGTTGTTTTTTCTTTTTTTATGTAATTTTTTAAAATTGGATTTTGTTCAAATAAATACTTTTTTAAATCTTCAAAATATTTATAAATGGTCATAAAAAAATTATTTTAGCATTTGACATATTTTTTACACTTTGATTTAAATCATAAACAATTTTAATAGTATTTTTGTAAATTATATTAAAACTAATTAATACACTATATTTCAAAATTGGTTATTTTTGTTAATTTGTTTATTCATTTTAATATTTTTAACAGTAACTTACTCAGTATTACATAAAGTGCAAAGTTAATAATTTATAACTGTAAGAAATATTTAAATATCTTTTTACTTTGAGTTGTCTAAAAATGTAGCCTAGCAACTATTAGCCTAGCAACTACTACCCATAACACTTGTAATTTTTGTCTAACTGCAGCGCATTATTAATTTTACATGTGTGCTGAATTCAAATATGAGTTTTATTTTTTTTTTGAACTAAGATAATAAATAAATGCTGACTTGAAATTGGTTAAACATTAGTCTAGAAAATTGGTTCCCTAAACTCTTCAAGTAGTTAACTATAAAATGGCTTCATTCAGTTTAAGATCTGATCCACAACACTGGCTATTTGAAAATTCAATTTCTCAGTTATCTACTCCAATATTACCACATATGCTAGATGTACTTTAACTACTCCAGTTTCTTCATTTAACCATAAGACAAACCCTTCTAGAAAGTTATAAAATTTCTTGTGGTTTGCAAAAGTTATTTCTTTTTTAAGAAAGTTTTTATTTTAAAAAACTTTGCTTTAATGAACTGGCATCAACCGCCAAGATATTTTTGACATTGAACCATAAACAAGCTATTAAACCATTAAACTATTTAGACATACAAGTAAACCTTACTATTTAGAAATATTTATTTGTCCTAATTTTTTCTTAATAATACATTTTGATAACATTAACTCAATAATCTTCTTAAGTAAATGGATTTTAAAGATTATAAAAAGTAATAGGTTGTTGAATATGATAATTAATGTACATGTATTGTACATTAAATTAAATGAGCTGTAAAATTCATTTTTAGGCAAAGTTCTGAAATAAGAAATTATCTTTAACAAAGTAGGTAAAAGATTAGTTGACATTGACTGTAAAAATTCTAACAACTGGCTTAACCTTACATTGATATTGATTTTAGTAGCTTGTAGACACAGAAGAAAGTAAGCAGTCTAAATGTGCAAAGTCATTAATTGCTATTGCCATATATCTGCAATTTTTTCACCAGTAAAAAATTGTATCTTAAGAATCTTTCAGTGTATTCATCCAAGTTCAAACTTTCAAAATTTTGTGATTAATATCTAGGGATGTTGACATATGTACTTGTTGGCATCTCTGGTTTTAAAGGCATCATGGCCCAGCTAGCACACTTACATTGGGCCAACGTATGTAAAACCATTGCAAATGTTGGCTCTTTTTTCCAATGCAAAACTTGGTTAATGATAAAATTATTACCAACAGAACTAAAAACATCTGGCAAATTTATATTGATCCAATGTATGTAAAAACATCTAAAAATTGATTGTTTTTACAATCTAAACCTAATGTTGATCCAATGTATATATTTCGACTTTGGCTCAATGTATATAAATCAACATTTTTCCAATGTATGTAAAAACATCAATAAGATTTGATTGTTTTTACAATCTAAACCCAACGTTGACCCGATGTATATATCTTTATATACATATATACAATGTTGATCCAATGTATATATCTTTTATATTCTTGTCATGATAAGAAGCCAACTCTCTCTGATTGCTTGAAGGGGGCATTTGAGCTTAAAAAGGATCTCACTTCTGCTACAGCATCGGGCTCTTAGTGGCTGGTGAACTGTAATTCAAATAAAACTCAGTTTTTTTCAGCCAATCTTTATTGCAATTATTTAGACCTTTCTATATTTATGAACAGTAATGTACTTGATAAGTCATCTCCCCTTCATCTTCTAGGATTAACTCTTACTTCTGATCTTTCTTTGAAACCATATATAAAATCTGTTGCAAAATTAGCATCTCTTAAAGTTGCATCTCTTTATCGAGCTCGACAATTTTTTACTCTGGATTCTATTCTCTATCTCTATAAATCTCAAATCTGGCCTTTATGGAATACTGTTGCCATATCTGGGGTGGATCTCCAAATAATGCCCTTTTTCTTTTAGACAAAATGCATTGTAAAAATAGTTAGACCTGCTTGTGCAGCCACCCTTCAAACATTATCACATCGTTGTAATGTTTCTTCTCTTTCTCTTTTCTACAAATACTATAATGGGCACTGCTCTAAAGAGCTAGCGTCTCTTGTACCATCTACCAAAATTCATTCTCATGTTACTTGTCATTCAATTAAGTCTCATCCTTTTTCTGTGACTGTTCCTAAGTGCTTCAAAAACTCTTATTCTTCTAGTTTTTTTCCTCGAACATCAGTTCTTTGGAATTCGCTTCCTTTATTTTGCCTTCCTGATTTATATAATTTGCAATATTTTAAGTCGTCTGTCAATCGTTGTGTTGCTCTACAATCTTCATCTTTTCTCTTCCAGTAACTTCCAACACTAATTAGTGGTTGCTTGCACTCTTGTTGAAAGGGAAGATGTTTAAAAATATATATATATATATATATATATATATATATTGCGACATTGATTCAATGTATATAAATCAACATTTTTTTAATGTATGTAAAAAACATTGCAAAAAGTTGATTGTTTTTTTTATCTAAACCCAACGTTGATCCAATGTATATATTTTGATGTTAATTCAATGTATATAAATCAAGGTTGATCCAATGTATGTAAATACATGGCAAAAAGTTGATGGTTTTTACAAACTAAACCCAACATTAATACAATGTATGCAACCAAACATTGCTATTGCAAAATTATATAACTTAAATAAAATCTTCCGTAATTATAAAAATATCAAACCACAATGATGAACACAAATATGATTTTTGTTTCAATGATCAAGGGTTGACAACCTTATATATATATATACAGTCATGGCCTTAAATATGAGAACGATGATAAATTTTCTATTGTTTCATGATTCTTTATCATGTAAAGACAGTTAGATAATAATTACAGTTGTTTTCAAACCTTATAACGTACTAGCGACATGTCTCTAGAGAAAGTCAATCCATGAATGATGTTTAGTCAGTCACACATGACCGCGCATGAACTTTTAATTTCTTGGGACTGTTTTTGAAAGCTAGACCACAGTACAGCCAAATATCAAGAAGACAGCGTGGGTTAGGCATTTTTAATTCATTATTCTGTTACATTTTATAAAGTTTAGATAAATTTCAGCAAGTTATTGCAGTTTCTGGTTGTTATATTGTGTGGTATACCAGATTTATTCAATGTAATTATGTGAGGCTAATTTTTTTATTTATAATTACTGTTTAGGCAACAATTTTAGCATTATGTTATATTTAAAATAATAAATATAGCCCAATTAATGCTTTAAAGTGCTAAATATAGTTACTGTTTTCATATGTTTTAAACTATGCCACGGGGTAAGGAAGTCTCAAAGGAGGTCCGAGCACAAATTGTCATGCTAGTCCAAGCACAAGTTGTCAGGCAAGAAAAATACAGCTATAAGCAAATTGCTGTACACTTAAGAGTTTCTAAAACAGCTGTATTCAAGGCAATAAAAAGGGTAGAGCAGCTAGGAACGTTTTCATATCACATATTAGACCAGAACTACTTCGTAAGACGACACCGAATGATGACTGATCAATTCGGCGTGCTTGTGTTTGAATTCCTACATGGTCATCAGCAGCCATAACCACCAATACCGGTGTCAGAGTTAGCCCCAGAACAATAAGTAGGCGTCTTACCAAGGATTGTAACCTTCTTTCTCGCCGTCCAGAAAAAAAATCAAAGCTAACTCCCAAGAATATTAAAGAGAGATTGGCCTTTTGCAATTTTTACAAAAACTGGTTTGTTGACCAGTGGTGCAGGGTCATTTTTTCCAATGAATCAACATTTTCCCAGTTTGCCTCTTACACTAGGCATGTTAGAAGACCAGTCAATCAGCGCTACAATATCAGATATGTAGTCCCTACTGTAAAACAGGCTCCAACTACGATGGTTTGGGGCTGCTTTAGGTCATACAAAGGTCATACAAAGTTTCACTTGAAGTTTCAATAAATTAACTAATGCTTGTTTGGACTGTAATAAGTGCAGTTCAGTCAGTTGACACCCATTGTTTATATATGATCTAATCATCAAAATCAAAATCATTCTTTTCAAACACATTTTCCAAGTAAGTCTTCAAATTTATTTTACCAGGGAGTTAGAACATAGATGAAACATGCAGTTTTGACTATCTATATTACAAACACATACTTTCATTAAATCTTTAAATAGCTGTTAGGAAGAGCATAGCACATCAACTTAGCATTTTGATGGTAAGAACATACACTGGCTTCCACTACTATCAACAGTAAGGCACCACTTTAACCTTCACAGAACTTGTTGAATCCAACTTTGTGTTCAGGGTATAACTTCTTAAACTCCAAATAATGTTCTTTTAAATGAACTAATATTAAACGTTTTTGTTTATGAACTTTAACATTATTTATGCGCACAGAAACAAAGTCTTTTTTTCCTAAACATTTTCCTGGACATTGTTTAGTGTATTTGTCAAATTCATATATTTCAATGACTCTCTGCTTAACAATATCCCTCCAAAGGATGTCCTTTTTTAGCCTCAAGTTTAGCAAGTATTCTCTTTTCATTTTTCAGCTTTCTGGCTTTCTTAACAAAATGGTCTGAAACTGAAAATGCATTGCAAGTTTTTTTAATTGACCAACTATCAGGAATTAATGTCAGTAACTGAACTTTTTCTTCATTCAAACTGATTTTTACTTTTTCCTTTATTGCATCTATAAGTTTGTCTAAATCATTACAGTTAATGCACTTTTGCTTTTTCTCAGATATTATTTCTT